TGCATAGAGAAGTGTACTCGGGGTGGGGGGTTGGGGGGAAGGGACGTGGAAATTGTATACTAATGAAGGATTTTTTTTTCTCTCTTCGGAGGGGGAAGCGAGCTGGTGGGGAGGGGTGGGCAGGGAGAAAATTGCGGCAATGAATGAATGGAAATCCAAAACCTCTGTAAAAAAAATAAAAAATATAAAAAATTAAAAAAAAGATAGATGGACAGTGACTGTAGCAATGGCTACTGTATGGCAGAGATGATAAGGTTGGCACAGGATAGGGCAGGTGGCAGATCTGTTGTTCATAGGGTTGTTATGAGTTGTACTAGACTTGACAGCACATCATAACAAAGATGTATTATTACAAAGCAGAAAATTCTAGATGTTCCACCAGGATGTAACAGGCAGGTAACGGCTTCCCAAAGATTCTATTGTCCTAATTCTTTGCATACTGTGAATATTATTATGACATATAATAATTCCCTTTGACATAAAGGGAATTATGGCTGCACATGGCATTAACCACCACTCGTCTATCAGTTTCCTATTCTGTGGTGACTTGCATGGTATTGTGATGCTAAAAGCTATGCTACCAGTATTTCAAATACCAGAAGGGTTACCCATGGTTGACAGGTTTCTGAGATGTTTGAGATTAAAAGAATTAAGAAGCAGGGCTGTCCATCCATTTCTGAAATAACAGGCCACAGGAAACCCTGTGAATAGCATCAGAACATTGTTTTTTGAGAAGTTCCCAACTCCTTTGCTGATATACCAAGACTCCAAATGAGGAGAAATGGCATTCATTGGAATGAACAAGGTAAGAACCTAAGAAAATTGGAAATTTACAAACATGAAACTAAACGCATTAAGAGTGACATCCTATATATCAGTGAGCTGAGACAGACAGCTCATTTGTGACTGCCACTTTGAATCAGACTATATAATTATATAGTCTATGCTGGTAATGACAAATTGAAGAGAAATGGTGGTGTAGTTACCCTAAAAAAGAAAATTTCTCACCACTGGGCCAATTGGAAGCATCAGGATGGATGGTGAAGAGATGGAGATTGTACACAGCTTTAGTTTGCTTGGCTCCACAGTCAACACTCTTGGCACCAGTAGCCAGGAAATTAAAAGGCTCATTGCCATGGGAAAGTCT